CATATTATATATATATAAATTTTATCGACACGTACCTGAATTTTATCAGCATCCAGGTAGTGGCAAATAATAGAACAGAGAGAATCGAAGCAAACACAATCGTCAATGCAAAGGTGAGCTGTAGCAGAAAATAGACCAAATGAAAGTGAGTCCGGTTGCCGACACCCCTACACACACACATGACCCCTGCGTGCATGAAAACGTTTAATCCTACTGCTCGTATATATTTATTTACAAGACAAACGTAGTACTACACAGCTATTGCCACGGTATTTACGTGCATGAACACGTTTAACCATACTGCTCATATTTATTCATATATAGCACAAACGTAGTATCGGTGTTTACGTGCATGAACACGTTTAACCCTCCTGCTCATATTTATTTATGTACAACGCAAACGTAGTACTACACAACCACTCCCACGATGTTTACGGGCATGAAGTAAGTAGCATAACTCGCCTATGAACAGGAATACTCGCACACACCAAACCACCGGTAGATAGACGGTTGGAGGTGCGTCTAAGATACATCCTCATGCACATAAGTGGACAATACCAGACTCACCCATGAACACGAATGCCTCACCTCCTGAGCATCACATCCACACACAGGTAGATGCTTAGGGGATGGCCGGGACTACATACCGACATATGTATCGCACGCTACAACCCCTCTCGCACTATAACTTTGTATTAAAATAGTACCGGCCATCTCGTCATACCCGATGTACTACTGTACACCAACACAGTCCAGGTTTAGGTGTGTGATTAGGTTTGTTTAGACCCTACAACCCTACAACATACCGTGCTCGCGGATAGGTATATAGTATCCGGGCGGTCTGACGGCGGTGTATTCGTTTGGTTATAGAACATCACAGGCATCAGTGAGACATATGGCGTAAGCTCCTGCATAAGCGCGTTGATCTGTTGCTGAGTGAGGTTGCTGGTATCCAAGTCGTATACACTCCCCTCTGGGAGTGAGCTTAATTCGTCACCTGTGGGAATGAGCAATGCGCGCAGAGAGGGCGATGGCGGCCTTGAGTGCGCATACACCCTGGGTGAGGCACATGCGACAACTGTGACGGAGCTCCGTATGGCCTAGTTTGGCGATTCTATTTTTAGACTGGAGCGAGCGGTCACCTCTCCAGCCACGTGTACTTAGATGTGCTGACTCTATTGCCCCGGATGAGAGACTGACCTACTTTTCTCAGTACTGAATTCTCGCTCACATTATTTTTAACATTAGACTAAAATCATAAAGCCCAGAAAACCTTAAGCCCTAAAACCCTGCCTGCGCCATAGCGTGAGACGACCAAGTCATCCGGAATCGCACGACATGACCACTAACGAGCAAAGGTTAAGAAGTGTACTTATATGTCGCCTTAGTCGGGGACAGCGCAGAGCAAATAGAGTCAACATCGTTCCCTCCAGCCACAACGAGTACGTTGGTATTGGGTTGACATCACACTCCCACTGATTACTTTTACCCAATGAGAAGCCCACTCGAGTCTGCTCGGTTTTAGAATGTAGGGTTTCGAGCTTGCTTAGGAGACGCACGCGCGGGGGACAAACGATGTAAGTGCGCCGATTGATAACCACAGTCGCACATTA